GTCTGTAGGAATAATCATTTGCTTTATATAAAAACATTAGCATTAACAAAGTAAACAAACCATATAGTGTGTCTTATTTAGAGTGCTAGGCTTTGCTTTACATTCTCATATGGAATACAAGCAGTTTTCCAATGATGTTTGATGTTTTGGTGGAAAATTTTGAGGTGAAGACAGTGTATTTCCAGTCAAATGTTCCCGATATTCCATCGGAATGTTTGTGATGTTCTGCTAGAATTAACATTTCTGGAGCGTGTCAGATGGCTGTCCAAAATCCCGTACGTTATCCCGCATGAATTTTTCTAATTATTCCGTCTTCGTTTTTCTTAGTGTCGGAAGAAAACAGAAGGAGAGACTGAAAAGAGAAGATGTTGTGACGGAATTTTCATCATCTTCTCTGTGACTGGTGTCGGAGCGAGCGGTCGGATCCAAAGAGGCTTTGTGTCGTTATCACGGCCTGCTGAGTGACACGCGCTCACACACACACACACGCTGCACGGCTGCAGGTGCAGGATCCTGGAATGTGTTTGAAATGATGTTCACCTGCAGGGGCCGTGAGAACCTGAGGGACTCAACAGAAACACGAACTCCAGAGAGATCAAAGGTCAGAGGTCATCTTCCTGCTCTCATGTGAAATATCCAGTCTGGATATTGACACGCGCACACACACACACATGCTAGAGCATTTCAGTACAAATCTTGAACAGGTGCAGCAAGCGTCTCAAAGTCAGGATATGAGGAGAAACTTTGTGCGAAGGCCTGGACGTTTCTCTAGCTACGCAAACTTGATTTCATGCATCATGTTCTGAAATATGTCTGAGTGCAATCCATGACAACAATAATGTTTTTTTATTCCAAAATGTATCAATATACAAAAAATGAGGCAAAACAAGATAGAAACTTGCATTATGAGCTAAATATAAAATTTTCATTGTTAAGACTGATTAACAAAATCTCAAATGCATACAGCATACATTCATGTAACATGTACATATAAATATATCCATGCATCAAATAATTAAAAATGTAAATAAATATAAAAAGAATAAATACATTTAAAACGAATAAACAAACGTTTATGCAAGAGCATTAAGAAAACGCTTCTAGCTACGCAAACTTGATTTTGTGCATCGTGTTCTGAAATGTGTCTGAACGCAATTCATAACAATGCAATGTTGCATTCTCAGTTTTTTATTCCAAAATGTATCAATATGCAACAAATGAGCCAAAACAAGATAGAAACTTGTATTACAAACTAAATATGCAATTTTCAATGTTAAGATTCAAATGCATACGTGTACACAATAATGTGACATGTACATACACATATTTCCATGCATCAAATAATTGAAAATATCTAAACAAACAAAATCAATTGGAAATAAAGAATTTCCAATAATCTCAATAACTTAGTGGCGTTCTTATTTTTCATAAATCTTATCAAACTAATATTTAACTCCAGTTCACTTAAAAAAAATTAAAAACTTTGAAAAGCTTTGCCTCAAGGGCCGCTAGAGTGTAAATCGCTTTCCATCATTTTTCTTTTTCAGCTAATGCCAGGTTCAGACTACACAATATTTTTGTCGGTCACGATATTCACTGTGTCAGATTACACGATTTTGACTCCTAAAATCTTGTCGTGTCGTGGACAAGAAACATGTCAGACTACACGTTGCTTCCCGACCATTCATCGCGTGCCGTCTTTAACGAGAAGGCGGAACTAGCGACTGACTTTCGAAAACAACCGTGTAAACATTGCTGAAGCGCTTCCGCTATCGTTCGCCAGCATTTTTCTTTCTTTGTTCTGTCGTGGTAGTCCCTCGATGACACATCATACAGGCAGGAGTACTGTTGCCACAGCTCCCCGAACCTTTCCTCCATCTCATAATTCCACCTAGCAACACCATTTCGCCATGTTTAAAAACTATGTATGAAAGAGCTTCTGTGCTGCTATTGGTCAACGTCACCAATGTGACAGAACTCGTCGTGGACGACGGGAAAAAAATCAAGCATGCTAGTCTTTCTGTCATGATGTCGTGAAGCATCGCAGATGTGGAATCGGCTAAAATCGTGTAGTCTGAACCGGCATAAGGCTGGCCACACACTAGAGGATTTTAAGGCCGATTTTAAGCCCGATTTGCACCCCCCGTACGATCGGGGGGTGTGGCACGATTCACGGCTTGTCGCAAGTGATTTTTTGTCCAGTCTTTCTGTCGTGATGTCGTGAAGCATCGCAGACGTGGAATCGGCTAAAATCGTGTAGTCTGAACCTGCATAAGGCTGGCCACCCTCTAGAGGATTTTAAGGCCGATTTTAAGGCCGATTTGCACCCCCGTACGATCGGGGGGTGTGGCACGATTCACGGCTTGTCGCAAGCGATTTTTTGTCCAAAAAATCCTCTATTGTGTGCTGTCATTACGATTATTTAACTGCTCCAGATCGAGACGGAGCGTCGCCGAACTCAGATCGTAGATATAAAGCATGTTTGATATTTACGACTCTTGATCTGGCTGCCTCTGACGTGATACCCGTGATAGCCAATGAGAGTGAGCAAGCGTCACCTACCGGATATTGTGTGCTTCTATAGCTGAAACGTGGCAGCCACAAACATGCCTTGAAAGTAGAGAACATCACCCATATTCTTTGTTGAACATGAACTGTCTTCATGTCTGTGGTCTCCCATGGTTTTAAAATCGCGGGAAAAAAATCAAGCATGCTAGTCTTTCTGTCATGATGTCGTGAAGCATCGCAGATGTGGAATCGGCTAAAATCGTGTAGTCTGAACCGGCATAAGGCTGGCCACACACTAGAGGATTTTAAGGCCGATTTTAAGCCCGATTTGCACCCCCCGTACGATCGGGGGGTGTGGCACGATTCACGGCTTGTCGCAAGTGATTTTTTGTCCAAAAATCCTCTATTGTGTGCTGTCATTACGATTATTTAACTGCTCCAGATCGAGACGGAGCGTCACCGAACTCAGATCGTAGATATAAAGCATGTTTGATATTTACGACTCTTGATCTGGCTGCCTCTGACGTGATACCCGCGATAGCCAATGAGAGCGAGCAAGCTTCACCTACCGGATATTGTGTGCTTCTATAGCTGAAACGTGGCAGCCACAAACATGCCTTGAAAGTAGAGAACATCACCCATATTCTTTGTTATACTTTGTTTTTCATTATGAAACAGAACGCGCGCCGGGAGAGCCAGCTGACAACGTTGATTGTATTCTATTTGTTTTTCTTCTCTAGTCATGTTTGATCTCGCGAGTCTCCGTGAGATCACGTGTCACTGTGAAATCGTTCCTACAATCGACACGTGTGTGGTCTCGTGGTCGAATCGTCTAGTGTGCGTGTTCAGAAGATAAAAATCGGTTGAACTGTCTTCATGTCTGTGGTCTCCCATGGTTTTAAAATCGGTTAAGATTTGAAAATCGTCTAGTCAGATTTAACGACTGTCATGACGGAGCAACATTTAATATTTTATGTTTACATTCGGGTTAGCTAGCTGACTGCATTGCATTACGAATCTATTCAGAAAGCAACGATGTAAAATCCAAGTCAAGGTTAGGCTGGTTAGATTTAGGTTTCGCTTCATCGCCACTGCCATTGAGATGAGCGAATACTAACGGACAGCTCTCTTTCACGTACATACAGTAGAGAGTTTTGGGCCTAAAGCATCAAACTCATGTTTGTATAGGTTCAGTGCGTGTGAAATCATAAATATGGGTTTAATTCGCTGATGAATCTCGCACACAAACACACACAGCTGGTTTAATCAAACATATAAACACACATTCCTCACCTCACACACCTGACACCTGAGCTGCTGCTGCTCACAGCCAAATTAACACACACACACACACACACACACACACACACACACACACACAGGTTTGTTTTTATGGTTTATGGGGACTTTCCATAAGCGTAATGGTTTTTATACTGTACAGACCGTATTTTCTATTGCCTTACACCAACCCTACCCCTAAACCTACCCCTCACAGGAAACTTTCTGCATTTTTAGATTTTCAAAAAAACTCATTCTGAATTATTTATGAGCCTTTTGAATTACGGGGACACTGAAAATGTCCTCATAAATCACCTTCTCGTTGTAATACCTATGTCATACCCATGTTATTATACAAATTTGTGTCCTCATAAACCACATAAACATGCTCTCACACCCAAAATCACACACACACACACACACACACACACACACACACACACACACACACACACACACACACAGAGCATATCAAATCTTGATGTGTGTGTTCAGTACGGGAACTAGGCAAGACTGAATGTACTATATACTTATAAAAGAGTAAGTTACCTTTTAGTGTATATACTGTACATCAAGTTAAGTTGCATGACAATTAGAAATGTTCTATCTGAAATAAAATAAGTTTTCATATTTTATCTCTGTTAATTGTTATTTTACATCATTTTAGTCACCCCGCCATAGACAGCAGCAGATATTAGTTTACCTGAGCGTATGTAAAGACTTTTGTTATATTAGTGAGCCAGTATTTTCTGTCTTAAATAGTTTTTGGGTTATGTTGGAACTATGAAAGTAAATTTGTAGTTTAGCTGACCAAGCAATAGAGCAATATACTTGCATTTGCTTTGGCAAAGATTTTGGATTGAAGTCCCAAAACAACAAAACTAAAACCAAAAGTTTAATTATTCAGTTGGACCCATATAAACTGGTTAGGCTTTGTGACTTATATTAATGTCTTTACTTAGTTAAGTAACACTATTACTATTGCTGTTTTTGTCAAAGTGCATGTTGAGATTGATGGACCTTTAGTATTTTGAGTCCTCAACGTTTCTTTTAGTATATTTTTTCGCACTGGATAAAGACCTGGCTGGTAACTTAAAGGTTCCAGGTTCAAATCCTAGAAGAGTTATTAATCTGCTAGACTTTAGTGAGTTTTTGGAGCGGCTAGTTAGTTAGTTGGTGTCTGGTGCCCTCTTGAGGAGACAGAGGATTTGCTATTTTCACAGTTGTGCATTAAATGTATTTATTGAGAATATATTAACCCATGTTACACAGAGAATTTAGAGGTTTGTACATCATTGTGCAGATTTACATTTTCATTTCATGCTGTAAAGCTAAACAGGAAAACAAAACAATCCTTAAAGCAGGTTACAATAACGTAAATGATCTTGTGCGTATGTATGAGTGTGCATCTGTGTGCACATTCAATAGATCTTCATAAAGTCCCACTCTCCAGTTTCAAATCCACCTTCATCTTCTGCTTCTCCATCACCGTCTCCAGCTCTGTGGCTCTGCGAGCGTCCTGAGAGACAGAGAGAGACAGACGGTTAGCAGCTGTATGTGTGGGAAATGCATGGCTGTCAAGATGAAATTGCTTGATAGGTTGATTATTGCATATTAAGTCAGGATATTAATCTGGGTTTCCATGCATGTTGAATGAAAACGACCACGAGACTAACACATCTTATGCTGCAATGTTAAAGTATTTTAAACAGGTTGTTATAGCATTGCTTTGCAGAGTGATCCAGTGTTTCAGGCTGTGTAGTTTATACTGTATACTGGCAGCTATTTTCAAATATTAAAGTGAGAAACTTTCTGATCATTTGTCAATGTTTTTAAAATATGAAATATGATAGCTTAGCCATTTCTGTGTGTGATGTACCTCTATCTGGGCTCTCTGGACGGTCAGCTGACTGTAGACTCTCGCGCCCTCTTCAGGAATAACAGCTCGCAGCTCTTCTTTATTCAGAGAGAACAGCTGAGCTCCATTCAGAACCCGCAGACACTGTACAGTCCTGCACATACACCAACAACAGCCATTCACTGACCACAGCTATTACTTCATTATATATGTGCCTCAAAACAGTGGCTACAAGCTATGATCACATAAATGTGGACTCAAACTAAGAGAAAAAAATGTATCATGTTAATCATACTATAGAAAATCATACTAAATGAATGTGGATGTGGTTTCTCCCGTTGTCAGTGATGTGAGGTGTTACAGGTGGAGTATTATTATTAATAGCTGACCGATTGCTGTTGTAAAGTGTGTCCTGTGTGAGACTCACGGTTCACTGAAGCCTTTCTTGCGCAGCCAGTTCTCCACCTCTGCAGGCGGCGAGCTGTAGTCCAGCGGGATGGACGTCTCTGCTGAACGAGGAATCACCAGACGAGGAGACAGATTCTTCCCGCTGGTCAAACGGTGCAGAAGCTCGTCATTCACCTGCATCACTGACACACAACCAGCAAATCAATCTCAGCATTCAGCACAAGACAGAAAAACCTGCCCGTGAGCATCAGATGATATTATAGTATTTATTCATATTTAGAATTAGCTTTCATTTTGACATTATCAGCAGGGTTATTATTGTTATCTAAAACTAAAACCAAAACCATAAAAAATAAAAATACCTAAAATAAAATAAGCATTAACTGAAATAAAATAAAGTATAAAAAATTATTTTATGGCTTCAGTGTATGACAGTCAGCGGAAGTGAGAGAAAAGTGTTTATTACATTTGAAATATGGATATTTTTCTTACAAAAACACATGGATTCGCTACAGGGGGCCTTTATTCATCCCCTGGAGCCGTCTGCGGCACGTTTTATTATGAATGCACGAGCTTTATTTGACGACTTGTGGACTGTTCAACTGCAACACCCGCTGACTGCAATGATAGAGCTTGGAATAGCCAGGACAATTTTTAATATAACTCCGACTGGATTCGTCTGAAAGAAGAAAGTCATATACACCTAGGATAGCTCGGGGCTGAGTAAAACACAAGCTAATTTTCATTTTTGGGTGAACTAACCCTTTAAGTTTCAGTAATGTTATGTGCTTGTTAGTTTTTTGTAAAAATTTTCTTTAATTTATTTGTATTTTCAGTTTTATTCTATTTCAGTATTTTGGCTACTTCAGTTAGTTACCAAAGCAACATTTAGTTTTTTTTATTTAAGTTTTCATCTAATATTTATATATTATATTTTAATTATTGATAATTAATTTGAATAGTTTTATTTGGAGTTCAGAATAACAACACTGGTTTGAGAAGCAGGAGACTTCATCAAAAGTCTCCATTTGTGCTCCATTGCCGTCTAGGAGAAACTGTTGTGATATTAAGGAGATCAGCTAGTTACTAATGTGTTTGAACCTTTCTCCGTGTCGTCAGACAGTGACCCGAGCATCATGCTGCGCGGCCGTGCGGCGCTGGGGTCAGAGGTCACGGCGGACGGGCTGTGCAGGCTGTTGAACATCGGTGGAGCAGCGGGAGGCTGAAACAGAGAGTGTAATGTCAGAAGAAGCAGAAGAATAGAGCGGTTCTGATGTGAGTTTGCGGATGTGAGTTTGTACCTTTGGGGTTTTATGAAGCACAGGGTTGTCGATGTGTGTCACCGGCTCCAGGATGTTAAACGGCACGAATCCCACTTCATTAAACTTATTACGACACTTCCACCAGCGGTTAGATGACTCGATCACCTGGACCACAGACAAATAACAGGAAAATGAAGGTTATTTGTATTATTATAATGTTTGGATGATGATATGATATTGCAATACAAAACTACACTCTAAAAAATGCTGGGTTAAATATAACCCAGTGCTGGGTAAAATAGGGCCAAACTCAGCAATTGGGCTGTTTTGACCCAGCGGTTGGGTTACTACCCAGAAGGTTGGGTTAAACATTTAACACAACCGCTGGGTCAAAACAGCCCAATTGCTGGGTTTGTCCCTATTTTACCCAGCACTGGGTTGTATTTAACCCAGCATTTTTTAGAGTGTAGTGAGAGAGACAGTAAGAGATCATTTTTGTTTTGGCTCAGTTTGGAGGAAAATACACACATATAGATGTGTGTGTGGGTTTACTGTCATAGTTTGGGACAAATTTGCCTCCAGAAGTGAGCGAAATCTGACAAAAACCCATCTATTTCAAATAAAACAAATAAATGAATGTACATACATTTTATATATAGTTATGTATTTATACATCTGGGGATGCCATGAAAGAAAGAAAGATAGAAAGAAAGAAAAAAAGAAAGAAATGTGTGTGTGTGTGTATGTATGTATGTATATATGTATGTGTGTATATATATACAGTATATATATATATATATACTGTATGTGTGTGTACCAAAAGAAACATGTTGCATTTTAATATAAATAAATAAATAATATTTTAGAATATCAATAAATATATATTGTGTATTTATTTATTTTTGGAGATTATAGATAGATAGATAGACAGAAATAACATTGTTATTATTATTATTATTATATTTTATTAAAATAACTGATATATCTCCAAAATAAATACACAGTATATCTATCTATCTATCTATCTATCTATCTATCTATCTATCTATCTATATACAGTATATATATATATCATTCTGTGAAATGTGTTTATTTTGATAAGTAATTTTATTAAAATAACTGATATATCTCCAAAATAAATACACAGTAATTCTATCTATCTATCTATCTATCTATCTATCTATCTATCTATCTATATATATACAGTATATATATATATCATTCTGTGAAATGTGTTTATTTTGATAAGTATAGTGTGTGAGTGAGTGAGTGAGTGAGTGAGTGAGTGAGTGTGTGTGTGTGTGTGTGTGTGTGTGTAAGTGTGATTGTGTGTAACCTCTAGTGTCTCTCCGTGAAGTACAGATAGCTCACTGTTGTTCCGTGCAACAAAATCATAGCTGCAGTGATATAAGCGCTCTTTAACTCCGCCATCACTGAGGAGGAGAGACAGAGATGTTTTCTCAGATCGTACATTTAAAAAAACATTACAAATACTATTTTTAAAATGCAGTTATAAAATAACCACCTTTGATTACTGAGATAAAAAGCACAGAAATGTTGGGCCATTAATGAAAAGAGAGTGAGAGAGTCGCTGAACTAGCCTTTAACAGCTCTGTTATCACAGCATTCACACAAGTGAAAGAAGTGAAACTGCTGCTGGTGGTTATTGAGAGTCGACACCATGAATGATCGGGTTATTCTTTTGTTATTTGTGTGAACAAACCCTAGTCATACATACTGAGACACCATGGCTGAAATGGTCACATCCCAAACGGTTTGACTGATTCTTCAGATGTGAATCAAACTTACGGTTCGTCTGTAGTCTGAACGAGAGCAGCGTGACGATCAGACGCGTGAGACGGTGTCAGCTGAGTGTGACAGAGACGATACGGCATGTTAGCAGTAACATCACAAACACTAAACACACAATGATAGACGGGGAAATTGCATTCATGAGATTTTTATTAGTGTGCTTTTCTTCAGGATGGGTTTAATTCTGTTTTTACAATCTGTTATGGTTAGCATAAATTATGTAGAAACGGCTAAGAAAATCACATTTTCTTTTAATTTAAAGTGGTTAACCAGTATGTACACCGTTTGTGGTCTGTTTGTTTTTTAGAAATTAATTATTTTATTAAGCAAGGATGCATTAAATTGATCAAAAGTGACAGTCAAGACATTTATAATGTTACAAAAGATTTCTATTTCAAATAAATACTGTTCTTTTGAACTGTCTATTCATCAAAGAGTCATGAAAACTAAAATGTATCACAGTTTTAACAAAAATATGAAGCAGCACAACTGTATTCAACATTGATAATAATCAGAAATGTTTCTCAAGCAAGAATGATTTCTGAAGGATCATGTGACACTGAAGACTGGAGTAGGCCTAATGATGCTGAAAATTCAGCTTTGATCACAGAAATAAATTATATTTTACAAAAGATTACAATACAAAAAAAAGTTACTTTAAACTGTAAAAATATTTCAGAATTTTTTATGTATTTTTGACCAAATAAAGAAAGAGCTTTATTGCCAAGTATGTTTGCACATACAAGGAATTTGTTAAAAAAAAATATATATATATATTTTATATAAAATGTATATATATATATATATATAAATATAATTTGCTTTTTATTATTATTATTTTTTTTATATTATATATAGTATTTAATAGTAATAGTATTTTAGTGTTTACAATTATATACATACATATTTATATTATTGTAAATTTGGGTGATTTTATATAAAAACATGCTTGATGTAAAAAAAGTTTTTTATTAATAGTAATATTTATAATAAATAATATATAAAATTAAGTTTACAGATAAGTATAATTTTCTGGCAAATAATTAAATACTAAATATAATTTCAAATATAATTAAACAATAAATAATTGTATTATTATTATTATTATTATTATTATTATTGTGCACAATTAAAAAAATTATTAAATTTCAAATTAAGAAATTGTCCATTAAATCATTAGATAACGCTTTACAATATGGCTAATTAGTTAACATTAATTAATAAAAAACAACTGTTCATTGTTAGTTCATGTTAGGTCCATTAATATTATGAAATATAACTTTGGATTTGAATAATGTATTAGTAAATGTTGCAATTATTCTGAACTGAGATTAATAAATGCTTTTCAAGTATTTTTCATTATTAGTTCATTTAACAAATGGAACCTTATTGTAAAGTGTTACCCATCATTAAAATATTTCTTTTCTAATTTACTTATTATTTAATACTGACATTAAGATTCATGACTCACCAACAGGCTGAAGCTGTATTTGAATTTCTGAAAAGTGTCGAGAAACTCTTTCTCAGAAGGCGGTTTGGCTTTAGCTGTGAGCAGATCCTCTATAAAATACAAAAAAAAACACAACAAACTCTCTTAAACACTGATCATGTGTGCTGTTAACAAGATACAATGGAACCTGTAAGTGAAGATTTCCTGGTGCATTATGTTCTTGGAACAAATGCAGACTTGTTTTAGCTTGTTTAAGATGATGCAGGTGTGGTATTATTTTAATTGAGAGTAGCACAGAGTGAATACTGCTGACGGCCTCGTAACACAACACTTTCCCATCAGCTGGTCTCCTGATCATACAAGGAACTGATAACAGGCTCCATCTGCTGATAAGAGCTCACTACAATATGCTCTTTACAGAGCGTTCAGTTCAGTCATGTTTCAGGGGTTCACTTTATAGTTTAAGTGTTTAGGTTTGATTTTTCCCAAGAGTAGACTCATACCATCTGCACTTTTCTTCTGACTTTTCTTCTTCTTTTTGCTTCTTTGGTCGAGGATAATCTGAGCCTCTGCTGACTGCTGCAGCTTTCCGATGAACGCTTCGATATCATCAAAGCAGTGATTAAGCAAGTCCTAGAAATATAGAGAAACCATAAAAATACATGCAGAGATCCTTGATTTGGTTCTTTTTAAATTCTGAAACTGTTGTTAATGTAAACAGGGATATCAATGTGACGTCGTCGGTCATGTTAATGGTCAAACTGAAGGTCAGCTAGAGCGCTGGAAGTCAACAGTCTCATAAAGCTGTTCATTCAAAAGTTCCAATAATATAAATATTAAGAAAAAAACTCATTTCATCATTGATAATAGTAAGAACCATTATTAATAATTGATCATCAATAATAAATGTTAATAATTGAGCACAAATTAAGCATGATAGAATTAATTTATATTAATTGCCTTTATATTATATATGTGTCTGTAGGTATATGTATGTGTGATATATATATATATAGTGTATTTGTTTATATGTACTCACCACTTCCATCTCAGCCCTAAGGAATGATTTATCAGGTTGACCGTTTACCAATCCGTTGGCTAGAATTGAGGAAGAGTGTGTTAATCGGTGTCTGTTTATAATCAGTATTGATTAGTATTGGGTCACACACACCTCTGATGCCCGGGTAGGGTGGAGGAGGGTTGGGTGAGGGTGGATTTGGGGCTTGGGTGTACGGAGGACTTGGGATTCCCGAAATATCCATACTGGACTCAGAGAACCTGAAACAGACACACTGAGATGACAACACTCCCTTTATTCAGAATGAAAGTGCGTGCTGTAGTACCGCACAATGAGCAGATTCGCAGTATTTCAGTGGGTTTTGATGTGCGTCACGGTGTCTTCAAATGTGATTTAATTGCCGGCACACAATGTTAATGAGTCACTAACAAACACATCAAACATAGTTGAGTTGTGTAACTACAAAAAACACCCATGTGAACACACACATGGGAAAAAAGCAAGACATTATCTTCCAAATAATGAAACACCCTTTTTGAAACAAGTTCATTTACTTACAGTAGCTATGAAAATGAGACAAATTCAAATTTATTTAAAAACTACAAAGTCGAGCGAAGAGCTGTGCATTAAATGACATACCATTTTTTAAATGTGAAAATAATTATATAGATTACACAGTAAGTCAAACCCTAAAAGAAAACTGCATTTTAACGAAAAAAAACATTATTGAATTTGTCTATGAATATTTTTATCTGTAAGGGCATCCCTAAAGTGAACTTTTGTCAGATTTTGCTCACTTTCAACAATAATTCTGTCCGTAAAGTCTTAGTTAACAACACACGCTCATTCATAAGAAAATCTTGCAATCCTAGAAAACGTTTGGCATTCAGTTTGACATTGAGATGCCTTGAGGTTAGTTCAGCGTGTCTCCTGCTCTAAACACACACACACACACACACACAGTTTCAGTCATTTGTTGCTGATAAGCACATACAGCAGATAAAGATAGCACACTGTACCTTACTTGAGTCCTGCTGTCTTGTTAGTGTTTAGTCCTAAACAACAGTCAAGGTCGAATGAATCTTTCCCTCTGCAAATCTGTCTCTCTCTCCCTATACTCTCAGTCACACCTTGGTAAGTTATGTAGAAACTGGTTAAACTGGTTTATCTTCTCGCTAGCAGGTTCTATTTCTCTAGGTTGTGCACACAGTGTGGAAATCACAGCATTACCCGACTGTTAAGATCCGTACCTGTTTGCTTTTATTGTGTAATGCGCCACGACTCGCTCGATGTCATCTCTGATGTGCTCTACCTGAGACATGCAAACAGGTAGAGAGTGATGTCATCAAAGAGGCGGGGTTTCTGCTTGGACAATCATTCCAGTATCACCTGAATCTGAATCAATGAAACTCGTCTCACTTTGACAGATGCACAGCTGAAGAAATACACGCTCGGCCTCTTCTGGGTGCAGCTCTGACTAACCAGCAGGAGAAGGGATGGATCACTGATAGATGGGGAATTTATGCAATCGCAGCGGAGAAGAGATGACACGGCAAACTCCTCCAATTCCTCATTAATGGTCAGTCATGGAACAATCAACACATTTAATAAGCATTCATAAAATAAATATTCTATACAGTGTGCAATGTTTCACAAACATACAGTTGTCCAAAATGTATTTGAGTGACATTTGAAACTTTTGAAACATTAGATTAAGTGTCAAATGCTGCAGGATGTTTCTCCTCACTAGCATTATTTTTCTTCATCATTTTTGAAGTCTCAAAGTCTTTTACTCGGCTAGTGTTTTGCTTTGTGCATAACATTTTACATTTATGCACTTGGCAGATGCTTTTATCCAAAGAGGATCATTTTGCATTGCATTCAAGTCAAAGGAAAAGTTCACCCAAAATTTAAAATTTGCTGAAAATTTACATCACTACTTGCTCACCAATGGATGCTCTGCAGTGAATGGGTGCCGTCAGAATGAGAGTCCAAACAGCTGATAAAAACATCACAATAATCCACAAGTAATCCACAGCACTCTAGTCCATCAGTTAACATCTTGAGAAGTCAAAAGCTGTGTGTTTTGAAAAAATACATCATTATGTTTTTAACTTTAAACTGTTGCTTCTGGCCAAAATACCATAGTCTATATGCCATAATAATGTTTTGTCCAGTGAAAAAAATCCACAGACATATTTGTTTAGATCTGTTGTAGACTGTTTTCACTTGAAAACGGTGCTTGATCGATGCATATTCCTCTCCTGATTCCCCAGCTTTTTCACTGGGGAAAGCAATATTATAAATAGAGGACTGTTTTGAGGTTAAAAGCATCTTAATGATGGATTTGTTTCTTACAAACACTCAGCTTTTGACTTCCCTAAGATGTTTTTAACTTTAAACTGTTGCTTCTGGCCAAAATACCATAGTCTATATGCCATAATAATGTTTTGTCCAGTGAAAAAAATCCACAGACATATTTGTTTAGATCTGTTGTAGACTGTTTTCACTTGAAAACGGTGCTTGATCGATGCATATTCCTCTCCTGATTCCCCAGCTTTTTCACTGGGGAAAGCAATATTATAAATAGAGGACTGTTTTGAGGTTAAAAGCATCTTAATGATGGATTTGTTTCTTACAAACACTCAGCTTTTGACTTCTCCAGATGTTAACTGATGGACTGGAGTGGTGGTGGATTATTGTGATGTGTTTATCAGCTGTTTGGACTCTCATTCTGACGGCACCCATTCACTGCAGAGCATCCATTGCTGAGCAAATGATGTAATGCTGCATTTCTCCAAATCTGATGAAGAAACAAACTCATCTACATCTTGGATGGCCTGATGTTGAGTCCATTTTCAGCATATTTCATTTTTAGGTGAACTATTCCTTTACTACATATTATCTGTTGCAAATGATAAATACATGCATTACTAAAACTGTAAAGATTTTTGAACCGTGCTAGTTTCTGTCTTTGCTTTCTTTCTCATTCGCCCATCTGTTTTAATGGTAGTGCATGTAGTTGCTCTGTTCTGTGTTGTATTCTTACCAGGCTGTTTCTGTCTTTCAGGCAGACTTTGTTGGTCCGGACCTCTAAAATCACCTCCGTACTGGACAGCCGATAAGAATCAACGAGAAGAGGAATCCGTGAAAGAGCCTCTTCAACAGTATCCACTCCCCCATCTCCCAAAGAAAAACTCACCAGCCGCTGGATAAAAAACAAAGAAAAAAACAAAAAATGAGCATCAGAGATATCAGGCTGTAAAAAAGATAAACATAAAACATGGCAATGCACACACAGTTATCAGAATCATGCATGAATTACCTCTTCAACTACCTTTTCTTCATTTATCCTAGTTATTTGATATCAATAATTAACGGTAAATTACCTTTTCAGAACTCCCCAAATTTGGTTATTTACATTAAAATGAGCAACAACAAAAAAACGTTGCTTCTGGCCAAAATACAAGTCCATAATCCATAATAACGCTTCCTCCAGTGAAAAAGTCCATCTAATGTTGTCCTCTCACATCAAAATCCACCCACATATTTGTTTAGAACCATTTTGGACTGTTTTCACTTGTAAATGGTGCTTAATCTGTGCAGATTTCTCTCCTGATTCAGACCAGACCACTTTTTCTCTGGAGAAAGCAGTATTATGGATAGAGGACTCAATTTTAACCAGAAACAATGGTATGAAATGAAAAGCGCCTTAATAATGGATTTGTTTCTTACAAATGTGCAAACCCAACATCTTTGATGGCCTGAGGGTGAGTAAATGTTCAGCAAATGTTCAATTTTGGGTGAACTATTCCTTGCATTGAAGTAGGAACTCTTCTGAACTCTTTTTTTAACACCAGACAAGAAGAAACCATCCATACTACCCTAGCAACCACTCAAGCATGCACGGCAAACACTTCATGATACTCACAGTAAGCAGGTATTGAGATACGACCCCCATCAAGACCATCAACTGTCACACACCTGTGGATCACAACAGATCACAGATCAAACATGTGCATATGTGACGTGGGTGTTCAAATGTGACTGACATTTCGACACATAAATAGCTTCAGAACGTGTCATTTTTACACCTTCCCTATCTCTCTCGTCCCGTTCGACCTGTCTGACTGCCTGCAGGCTGGGATTCCTGCGAGTTTCAATTTACAGACACTTTAAGTACCTACATTCTCTTTGACACTGATGCACAGAGAGCTTATCTCAGATGTTTTATTATGAGGAATTAATAAAATGAGCTACATAAGCATCTATCTGAGCATAGAGACAGTTACAAATAAACAGACAGAAACTCTGACTCATTTAAGGAATAGTTCAGCCAAATATGAACACTTTGTCATCATTTACTCACCCTCTTGTTACAAAGGAACACAAAGGGAAATAGGAGATTAGGATGAAGAGTTCAAGCTGCTCTTTTACAGTGGCCAGGGGCTGTCAAACTCCAAAAAGGACAAAGCGCACCAAAAAAATGAAAATGCTGAAAATGTCACCCTTTACCAAAACAAGAGAGTGACATCAATGAGACACACAAATAATACGTGACCCTGGAGCACAAAAGCAGTGTTAAGTCGCTGGGGTATATTTTTAGCAATAGCCAAAAAAAAACATTGTATGGGTTAGAATTACCGATTTTTCTTTAATGCTAAAAATCATTAGGATATTAAGTAAAGATCATGTTCCATGAAGATATTTTGTAAATTTCCTAGCGTAAATATATCAAAACTTAATATTTGATTAGTAATATGCATTGCTAAGAACTTCATTTGGACAACTTTAAACATGATTTTCTCAATATTTAGATTTTTTTGCACCCTCAGATTCCAGATTTTCAAATAGTTGTATCTCGACCAAATATTGTCCCGTGCTAACAAACCATACATTAATTGAAAGCTTATTTATTCAGCTTTCAGATGATGTATAAATCTCAATTTCAAAAAATTGACCCTAATGACACTTTTTGTGGTCCAGGGTCACATGTGTCAAGCAGCACGTCTCTAATCAATGTACAATTCATCTTAAACAACTTTAGGAAAATATATAAAATTGCATGAGTCTCTTATACTCACCACAGCATTACACTGCTGAAGACGTTTGTCTTCTGAATAGTATTCTCAAAACTAGATGTATTTTGATTAATAGTGTTTTAACCGCCCAGACATTCCTCTCACAGATAGAAATCTGAGATGCAAAAATATCTCGTGTAAGTGATCTGAGTGGCACCATCTCTTCTTCAAAACTTATTTTCACCATTATTGGCTCATTTAGTCTGATACTGTGTATCCCCTTTACTAAAACAGTTGAAATAGTCAGTGCAATCAAAATGAGTTTTGTGGCTTTTAGTCCGTGTACATAAGCTTTGAGGTATGCAAAACTCAAACTTGATCTTTTAGCAGATCAACTCTACTGTATTTGGATTCATTTGAAACGGCTCTAAAATACTGATTATTATGGTTAATTCAATTTTACATATACTCTTTATCCAGCACATCAGTTGTTCCCAAAACTGTTTTACTAACTGAGAACTGCTCCAAATGACTCTGTGAGAGAGCGGTCCGAACGAATCGAACTGAATCACGAATCGATTCAGTGATTCAGTTTTGCGAAGAACCGACTCAATAGAACAACTAATTCGTGAAGAATTCATTGGCATCGCTATTTTTAAATACGGGTCGGGACACACGTCGTCATTGTTTAAATATATTCTTTGGGAAATGTGTTCTGTTTCTCTGATTGTTATAAAATTTAAAAAAATTACATTTCACCATATGTATTCACACTGTTGCGTCTGCATAGGTCATGTCATTTCTCACCTTCTGTTCAACTCTGTTCAGTCCCACATGCGATTGTGGGCGGGGCTTGACTGCTGTGTTGAGGTCTGATTGGGCAGTTCTTACCAGTGATTGACAGCTGGAGTGTAACTCAACGTGGCAAAATAAACTCCATAGGAATGAACTTTCTCTTCGGTGCTGAAACAGCACCTGTATTTTTAAAATGTGGATGATCGTTTAGTCCCGACGCATTTTATTGGTCTTTGGGGTCCTGGCATTTCATCTGAATTAGAAGTATTTAAAACTGTGAACATTTTTTTGATTTGTGTGTGATCTTCAGAGGACAACGAGGAGGTTTTCATAGAGGAGTCTACAACATTATCAATCCTAAAAGAGGTATGTTATAACAAAGGTTGTTGATTATTATTAATATTATTTACTTATTAGTAAGTCAGATGACATTGCCATAATTTTAGTTTAAAAAGAGAGACATTTTAAAATGCATTAGAGAGCCTATGTAGTTTTTATGTTGCTTTTATTAAATGAATCTTAGAACAATCCAAGGCAATTATTAACCTTGACAAGGCTTGTTTACAATATATGAGAGTAATGTTTTGTGTCCTGGTCAGTTGGGTCACTTTGACAGTGAAATAAGATGCAAAGTACCAGCAGCGCCACCTGCTGGGAGTGACTTTTACAATCTCAGTGTAATTCTGTTCTGGAATTGCATCATTCATCAGCTTTCTGAAGAGCTGCATGTCAGCTGTACAGCACATGGAGAATCATGCTAAAATATAAATTCAGCTATAGAGGCAGATGGTTACTGATGCGCACTGATTCGAATGCGTTGCAAGGAAAAACAAAGGAAATCTTTGTTGCATGAATTAAAGTTCCCATATTTTACACCTTTCTGGAGATTTATTTTAGGTTTTGGTGTCCTTAAGAATATATATTTGCGGTATAAGTACCAAAAACTATCTCGATATATTTTTACAGCTCCTCTCTCAGGAGCTCTGCTAAGAACAGGTCGATTTTGGCCTGTCTAATTAATATTCATGAGCCTCTCTTCTGATTGGCCTGTTGTTTTCTGAGTGACGCATGGCCAGGTCAACCACAGTTAACTAGGGTCAGCGGCGTCACAGCGCTAGCCGGAGGCAGCAAAACAAAGAGGAAACTAGAGGCGGCCCATTCAAACCAGCACAGATTCAGCTACATAAGGAGCTTAAAATATCATCTTGTTGTGATGTTGGGTGCCAGAATCGACGTAATACAGCCTCAAATTAGAAATGTAATTGCATATCTGCTGCCACTGCCAGGCAAAAAAACCGACGACAGCTGTGGTTAAAACGAGCAGACCGGACAGAAACGACCGTCAAAAATGCTCGTGTTTGCAGCGCACACTTCTTATCAGAAAAGGTTCAATAAAGTATTGTCTTTTGTTGTTATGGGCGCGTCTACAGATTTTTTGATACGCCATATTGCCATATGTCTATGTTTCTTGCATCTCACGACTATGTCGTGTATGAAATGTCTGTGTGCATGTGTGTAAAACAACAAACTGACGATTTATATATAATCATTTGTAATTGTATATACGTTGTTGTGATTAATTGTGGCTGGAACATTAATGTAGCTGTAAAAATAGTTTCCTGCTGAAATTGAAATGTATAAACAACATCATGACTAGATAGACACGGTGAGTTTGTCTTTACTTTACATGTTAGACGTGATCACCTCATAGTAACATGTGTGTAAAACAGCAAACTGACGATTTATATATAATCATTTGTAATTGTATATACGTTGTTGTGATTAATTGTGGCTGGAACATTAATGTAGCTGTAAAAATAGTTGCCTGCTGAAATTGAAATGTATATACACCTTCATCATGACTAGATAGACACGGTGGGTTTGTCTTTACTATAGGCGTTAGATGTGATCACCTCATAGTAACAATCCTATCAGATCGTCCATCCTTTGAGTGAGAGTAACGTTACAGGTCGGCCGATCTGGTTCCGTGGTTAAAGTTAACCTTTTCGACATGTTTCCGTGTTGTTGTCGTTGCTCAGCAATGGCAAGGACGCGATGTTGTCTGGGGGTGTGGCTAAAGGAGAGTGGGACGGTGGGCGGTGCTCGGGGAGGTGACTGAAGGCGGTGACTGTGTAGTTCTGACGTCAACTTTTTACGGAAGTCACAATGGTTCGTGAAAAATCACAGCTACTTTATGCAGGCTGTGTGCATTTTACTGTGGACTGACTGTTTTGAAACTTATATGGTAATTACATAGCACCTAGACCTCAGTTATCATGAAAAAAGCCAGGAAATTTCAGTTTTGACAATATGGGACCTTTAAAGAAAAAACGATTATATGAAGGATAATTCATTATATTTAATGCATCAATAACGTTGAGCGTTTCTTCCTATAACTGTTTTCATAATTATACATTTAAATAACCTTTTATAATCGAACTATTTAAGTTTAGAAACTAATAAGCTGATATTTTAGACTAAAGCATGAATATATTTGTGCGCGCTTTCACAAAGCTTAGAACGCCGCACGCTTTCGCTCAACAGTGAGTGAGTGGGCGACAGTGTTGCCAGGTCCGTGGTTTTCCCGCGGAATTGTGCTACTTTAACACCGTTGCCGCAGGTTGTTTTTCATGTCCGCGGATTGAAGCGACCACATTAACGGGATATTTAGCCACTGGAATGTGGATTTTACTAGGGGAACCCCGGAACGTGACCTATTAGGCGGATTTTGTTGTGAAAACCTGGCAACCCTGGCGGGCGGGCGGGGCTATATAACAATGGCGCGTGGAGGATGCTTCCTGAAAATGCTCTTTGCGAACCGCAAAATAAGCTCGAAGAAGAAGAAGTTTCCTGAGGTTCCGCAAATCCATCGCAACCACTCCTGAAAAGTAAAACGCCGCGAAAATAAATGTCTTTCTCTGTCGCCATATACTTGAAATCATTGTTTCTCTAGTTTGTGTTTGTATGGTTCGGCTGGGGAACTCGAGAAGTGGTGTTTTTAAGAGGATTTGAGCCGCAAGTCAATAACACGTGCGCGTGCCTTTGAGAATCAAAGACAAAAACTACAGCGGTGAGAATTTATTTAAGGCCTATATTTACCATGCATGCATAGATATTAATAGTAAGCTTTCCTGTTTTACATGCTAACTTGGAAGCATATTTCATTTTAGTTTCATATGTGAGAAGCACTAGCCGATCTCTTTGAATGCTTACTAGCTCTGCAGTGTTTTGGTTCGGGTTCATCTTGCACTGAAGAACTTATGTATTTATTTAACTGAATAATCGTTTTAGAGCATACAGTGGCAGTTGGGCGATGTTTCCTGCTGTCAGTGTGAGAAACATGTAAATGTCGGAATTTTATTATTATTATTATTATTATTTTAGGTCTTAAAGAGACAGTTCACTTCAGTTATTTTTGCATTTACCCTGTTTGTTACCTTGAAAGTGGACTCCGATCTTATTTTGGTCCATTTTAGTCAATTTACCTTCAGTAACCTTAATCCAAAATATTGAATATTATCATAATTATTAGAATAATTAGTATTTTGATTATGATAATAATGCACTTATTAGTAGTATATTAATATACAGTAATATTGTATGTTGTAATTTGCATTTTCAAAGAAGTGTATTAAAAGATGTAATTCTGTAAAACTAGATCAAACTTTAATTGCCTGTCATCAATGTCTATATAATAACCTGTATGGCTAAAAACAGAAAGAGAAGTAGACTTGTCATCTGCATTTTCAGGTTATGTCAGAGCCCAATATCCCCAGACGGCTCAAAAGATCCAGAGCGTCAGACAACTGGGGCTGCTTTTTTAGTTCTAGACAGTGGAGTGAAGTGAACTTCAAATCATTTGGCAGTCTGTACTGTAGAAATGGTAGCAATACTCTTTCAAACTTTAATTACCTGTCATCAATGTCACTGTATAATAACCTGTATGGCTAAAAATATTCATAATTGTGCAGATGTTAGAAACAAAAAACATGGCATATTATAAGCAAACATCATCGAGATGCAATTGAGTTCGCTTTAAAGTTTGTTTAGTGTGTTCACATATAAAACACAAACTGACATCTGGTGAAAACGGTCTGATTCATTAGTGAATCGGTTTTTAAAATCCATATCCAGTATTTACAGACGACTGGAAAGATTTTGGAAATTCACAGATCAAGCCGTACTCACACGATGGCTCTAATGCTGTTCCTCACTTTGATTGTGTAGTTTTTACTCCATCATTTGTTTGGACTGATTACTCAAACGGAAGTGAACTTGAATAGCCGTCAGACATGAAGCAGCACACATGATTAAGCAGTTTTATGACTGAACTGGCAAGATAAGATCTTTTTTTTTTTTTTATATATACTTGCATGTCTTATAACAAAGATAAATCCGCCGTGGCTTTGTGTGATTTGACTACAATGCCGGCTGTTCTGACTCACAGACTGGAAGTACGTTTAATTTAAGTTAGTTTAATTTAATTGCATTTAAAAAATGCAATTAATAAAATGCATAATATGCAATTACTTTTTAAAGCTCTTTATGTTCTGTATTATTCAACAAAGACATGGTATAAATCATTGTATAGAATGACCAACACAATATTAGATAGATTAAACATAAATGTTCTTTTCTGTAGGCCAGGCCTATATGTTACGATGAAATTAGGTGATGCATGAATTGATATGAATTACATTTTATTTAACAACTACAATCACAGTAGTATATTGACTGATTTGTTGAACTTCCAACCTTGTAATAATTATGACAACATAATGCACTGACAAATAAGCCTGCTGTAAACATTAATATAAAAGTCAGTAACCAATCACACAAACTAAAGTAGATTGCAGAAATATAAAAACAATCTGCTGCTTTACCACACTACTTTAGGTAATTCACAGTCACTGTAATAAACATATGTAAACATGTGGACTGCACTTTTTAAACACCGTTAACTTTAGACAGACTTTAAATAAATACGAATATATATATACATTACCTTATTATATATATGATCTTAAGGTTGAAGTCTTCAGTAATGAAATGCACCGTAACACTGTTACTGCTTGAGTAATTTCAGGGCTCCAGACTCATTCTTCCCACTGGTCACTCTTTTTTTGTTTTTTTTGCTACAACATGGGATTAATCAATGCATGCTGATTAACTTTTATCATAGTTTATAATTATAAGGAAACGAAAGAGGTTAACATTCATCTGGTTCTTTTTCATTAGTAGTAGTATTTGTGATTTGAATTGAACGGGAGTTCCTCTTTTGCCATGTATATAATATGCCATTGACACCACATGCTGTATTATATACAGACTAATAAATTACAGAACGTTTAGCAAACACTGAGGAATCATTAATAAATGAAATTAATAAATTAAATAAAAGAGAGCCTCCATAGCATATCGTGAGGTAAACAGCAAAGACAACGCAAATGAAAACAAAAAGAAAAGTAAAACTAAACTTTCTGTAGGTGACGGTGCTTGCATTTTTTCCTTTTCCAATAAGAATACCAGCATGTTCACCTTTGGTTTAAGAAGCGGTCTTTTACTTTACTTTAGCATAAAAACCATCCATCTTTTCCTCAATATTCGCGTAATTTTTGCAGCGTGCTCTACACTCGAAGCACTGCGCAGCTCAAACGAGTAGCGCCGTTTCGTTATGCTTTCAGTATTGTTTGATGTTTCACATGTGCAACAGAGATGGCAGCGCTTATGAGTTAAACAACGCGGTGGTCGCGCTAGTGCGAATGCTCACAAAATTTAGTCACACAAACAAGCAGAAAAAATGGTCGCAAAATGCGACCATTTGGTCGCAGTCTGGAGCCCTGTCAAGCATTTATCTACAAAAAAAAACAAAAACGTAAAATGCATGACTTTTTGAATTGGTTCATGACTGAACAAACTGATTAATATAGCAATGTGATAGCCTACTAGAAACGTTTAATTGATTTAATTGAATTCATTTTCACATAATGCAACTAATGAATCATCATATCGAAAATATATTTGAATCAGATGTGTTAGAAGCACCAATTAATACTTTACTTTAGCATAAAAACCATCCATCTTTTCCTCAATATTCGCGTAATTTTTGCAGCGTGCTCTACACTCGAAGCGCTGCGCAGCTCAAACGAGTAGCGCCGTTTCGTTATGCTTTCAGTATTGTTTGATGTTTCACATGTGTAACAGAGATGGCAGCGCTTATGAGTTAAACAACGCGGTGGTCGCGCTAGTGCGAATGCTCACAAAATTTAGTCACACCATTTGGTCGCAGTCTGGAGCCCTGTGAAAGACTGCTTAGATGTGTTCGACTTGAAACAGCGCTGCTTAGACCGATCGGTATGTTATCAAAGTACTGCGAGAGCGGACGTCTCCTTATGCTTTCTCTCGCCGTACTTTGATGTCATACACCGATCGATCTTCAAGTCGAACATACCTCTTTACTCTCGCGTGTCACGTGACCGAGTGTAATCGCAGCCTCTGTGATTGGAAAAATCGCGTTTTTTCATATCGCGATATTATCGCAAATGCAATTAATCGTTCAGCCCTAATTCAAAAACAAAGTATTGTCTAATTATCAACAAAATCCTTGAAAATTTAGTTTTTTTTTTCTCAGCATTAATGTTTTATTTTTTCCAGGTCTTAAAAGCCTTAAATTAGACTTTTAAAAATGTGCAAGAATCCTGTGGTAATGCATTTTATGCATCGCTCTCTGCAACGTCAGACACTTAACTTATCGTAGAAAATGGGAGCTGTTTCAAATCTAATTTTTGAGTCTTTGGTACACTTGGTTTTAAAGAGAAAATGCTCCGCAATGGTCATCTGTAAATGACTGATGAATTTGCACATGGTTTGTCTTTAAGCATATATTAAAAACACCAGATAGACGTACTGTATAAACGATGTCAAAACTTGATTTTCACAATGTTACTTTATTCTTTAATACATTGTTTTCCTTTCTCTTTTAATTTCCCAGGTGTGTTTCTTTGTAGCTCTGTATTATAACGTCATCATTGGTTGGAGTATTTTTTACTTGGGAAGTTCTTTCCAGTATCCTCTACCATGGGAAAACTGTCCGACAGAAGGGAACAGCACCGGTAAGGATTAGGAGTTTGTGTAATGCAATATAAAATTAGTCATTTTCATTTGTGAGATTAGATATAAAAATGTCACATTTCTGGCATCAGTTCTTCATATGGAGATGCATTTCTTGTTTTTGCTCCTAGTGAAGGAATGTGCCGCCAGCTCTCCCACAGCATATTTCTGGTACCGTAAAGCTCTGGATATCACCGATTCCATTGATGAAACCGGAGAGTTCAACCCCATCATCACTGGATGTCTGCTGGCCGCTTGGGTCATCGTTTGTCTGGCCATGTACAAGGGCATCAAATCGACCGGCAAGGTACTTGGCGTTTGTGTCCGTATATATATATATATATATATATATATATATGTATGTATGTATGTGTGTACGTACTGTGTTGTAATTTGATTATTGATGGTATTGATCAGTATCTGTTGTGTGTAGGTGATGTATTTCTCCTCCGTGTTTCCGTACGTTGTGCTGCTGTGTTTCCTGATCAGAGGCGTGACGCTGGACGGGGCGTCCGAGGGCATTAAATTCATGTTTTACCCCAGGGTATGTAGATAATTGCATGACTTTTTAAGCTGCATGTTGAGTTGAGGTTCAGAATGTGGGAAAATGTATTAATTAGACACCATAGTCCAGGGGTGGCGAACGTCGGTCCTGGAGAGCCGCAGCCCTGCAGAGTTTTGCTTCAACCCTAATCAAACACACCTGAACAAGCTAATCAAGGTCTGAACAGTTACTAGGAAGCTACAGGCAGGTGAGTTTTAATTAGGGTTGGAGCTGAACTCTGCAGGGCTGCGGCTCTCCAGGACCGGAGTTCGCCACCCCTGCCATAGTCCATAAAAACTATCACCAAAATGGTGTCTTCTCTCAGTATTGTCATGTTTTATATACACTGAAAAAACTGGTGTAGAAATAGTTTTCACTTAGAAATTGCTAGTAAATTTACATTTACAAATAAATGGCCAGTAACACATTGAATTTAAGGTGAAACTTAAGTAGAAAAATGTAAAACATACTCTAATAATCTGTTTAATTTCAACTTTGAAAAATGTTTTACAATAGTATTATGTACTAAGTACTGTTAATATTTTGGATCAAGTTTTATTTTTTAATTTGAGTAATTTTGCCTTCATAGCACATACATTTTTAGTTTTTTTTAAAGATGTATTTAGCTTTATTTTTATTTCACTTTTAGTTGTAGTAATTTCAGTACTTAAACTTATTTTAGTTGCCAACATTTCTAATTTTTTCCTAATATTTATCATTTATTTTATTTCAATTACTTACACATGTTTTTAACAGTTTCAGTTTTTAGTTAACAATAATAATATTGCTCAAAATTAATCTATTTTTCTTATATTATCGTGCGATATGTTTAGTGTAACTCTGAAGCCGTTCACAATCAGATTCCCAAAGTGAGTTCTGTTGTGGTTGATTTCTCTCAGCTGGAGATCTGGGCTGACGTTCAAGTGTGGCGTCAGGCGGCGACTCAGGTCTTCTTTGCTCTGGGTTTGGGTTTCGGTTCTGTGATCGCATATTCTTCCTATAACCCGCGGAACAACAACTGCCATCGAGATGCGTTCACCGTGTCTGGCGTCAACTTCATGACGTCTGTTCTGGCCACGCTGGTGGTGTTTGCTGTGCTGGGCTTCAGAGCCAAAACCATTGCCACAGAGTGTGTTAAACGGTCAGTAAAAATGTTTGTTAATGTTTGATCTTAAAACATATTATAATGCCTGAAGTACCTTTACGTATATTTTCCAGAAGCTTTAAGATGTTTAGCTGTATGCATGTTTGTGTATGTTGCAGTAACGTGAAGGCCGTGTTTGAAGCGATGTCCAGCACTCAACTCCCTGACCTCCTCATCAATGCATCGGATGTGGAGAGCATCACATTGAACGAGTATGAGGACTGGTACAGGATTCAGGGCCAGCAGCTGAATATCCCCGGTTACAACATCACCGCCTGCAGCCTGGAGGACGAGCTTAAACAGGTACAGAACAGAACTAGATGTTTTATATTTTCTGAAGAGAACGTGAGTGGTGCAAAACATTCTTTACTATTGCATTGCTTGATGTTTTGGGTGGTTTCTAGGGTATTGCTTTTTGAGTTGTTGCTAGGGCATTATTGGAAAGTTTTATGTGGTTTCTGGGGTATTGCTTTGTTTTGAGTGGTTGTTAGGTTACTGGAATATTTTGGGTGGTTGCTAGAGCATAATTGGAATGTTCTGGGTGGTTTCTGGGGTATTGCTTTGTTTTGAGTGGTTGCTAGAGTATTATTGGAATGTTTTGGTGGTTGCTGGGGTATTGCTTTACTTCTGAGTGGTTGCTAAGTTATTGGAATGTTCTGGGTGGTTGCTAGGGTATTATTGGAAAGGTTTAGGTGGTTGCTAGAGCATAATTGGAATGTTCTGGGTGGTTTCTGGGGTATTGCTTTGTTTTGAGTGGTTGCTAGAGTATTATTGGAATGTTTTGGTGGTTGCTGGGGTATTGCTTTACTTCTGAGTGGTTGCTAAGTTATTGGAATGTTCTGGGTGGTTGCTAGGGTATTATTGGAAAGGTTTAGGTGGTTGCTAGAGCATAATTGGAATGTTCTGGGTGGTTGCTGGGGTATTGCTTTGTTTTTGAGTGGTTGCTAGGTTATTGGAATGTTTTTGAGTGGTTGCTAGGTTATTGGAATGTTTTGGGTGGTTGCTAGGGTATTATTGGAATGTTTTGGGTGGTTGCTAGGGAATTATTGGAATGTTTTGGGTGGTTGCTAGGTCTAAAATATGAATACATCTGTAGTTATGCTTAGTTGCACAGTATTTCTTTGGTTAAGAATGACTCCGCTTAATGCTTAAGTTAAAGTTTGCGATCTTGTCTTTCTCTCTCAGGGTGTGGAGGGAACTGGTTTAGCGTTCATAGCGTTCACTGAAGCCATGACGCTGTTTCCTGGGAGTCCGTTCTGGTCGGCGCTGTTCTTCCTCATGCTGCTCAATCTGGGTTTGTCCACCATGTTTGGCACCATGGCTGGAATACTGACCCCGCTGACGGACACGTTTAAGACCCTGCGTAACCACAAATTCCTCTTTACAGGTAACACTCTCACCCTGTTGCTCTTGTTCTGTTGCTCTTGTGTCTTTGTTAATGTATATTTGGGTTTATCTTTGAATTGTTCAAGTCTGCTTTGTCAATTCTTCCAC